GATTAAAGAAACATTTAATATATCAAACTTACTACCGAAATTTTTTCAGGAAGCAAAGCATTCATAATTAGTTTCTTCAAGAAAACAAAGTTAATTAAGAGAATATGATTATAGAAACGTAATTTTTATTAATTAAGTATGGAAAATAATTAAACGAATACAAGTAGAAAAGATAAGAGTCAGAAAATAATAATAAAATATTTAAGTAGCAGTCAATACAGGCTTTCTGACCCACACTCCAGTCCTGTAGGTGGCGGTGGTGCACAGCACAAGTTTGTTGACTGCCAATAAAACACACGAAGAAGAAGAAAACACCGGGGTRGTTTGACAAATGCTTTTCAGCATGGAGCTCCGTTTCTTAGCTGTTGCGTAGTTTTTCTCCTCACTGTGGTCATCTTTTCTCCTGAAAGACAAAGCCCGGCAGGGTTCAACAGCAGCGGATATGTCCTACTGCAAAGAAGAGGGTAGTTTGAATCTCGTTCAGTCATTTTCCCTCCGCGGCGGAGCTAGCATGATTAGCTACCATGTAGAAAGAGCGAGAACTTTACAAATCGTGTTTCTGTTTTTAAAAACTCTTTGAGGACGTTTGGTCTGCTCTGTCTGTGTAGTTWATCTAAAAAATACTCCATAGTTTTGTGAGTTGTTCTCTTTTCTACTTTGACATTCAACCCACAGACAGCACTCACGATTAGCATTAATCCTGAGTGGTATACCCAGTGTGGCCGCTAGGGGCCAGTGTAACTGCATTTATACCCACAATTAAATAACCAATTAACAGAAAGTGTCAGCACAGACCCAGTTCATGGTTGGATTTATCCTTTAACAGTAATGTTTGTTCCACTTGTTTTGTTTTGTTTTCCCATCTGAAGGTAAAGATCGCATCATCTTTGTGACCAAAGAGGACCACGAGGCCCCCAGTAATGCTGAGCTGATCGCTGATGACCCCAACGACCCCTATGAGGATCAGGGTTAGTAATCCTTAGGCCTGCCTGCACAGACCAGGTTTTCAAATTTAAATGGTAAATGGACTGAACTCATTTAGTGCTTTATCAAGCCCCATGTGGACCCCGAAGCACTTTACACTACAGTCCTTCACCTGTTCACACACTGATGGTGGTCAGCTGCTCACAGCTGCACCGGGCCACACTGACAGAGGGGGGCTGCCATGCACCGGTGTCACCGGACCCTCTAGGCCAGTGGTCCCCAAACTTTTTATCTTCTGACCCACAAAATATCCATGGCAAAAACTTGTGACCCCAAATATTACTGGTCTGAGTACACAAACTTTGTTAATAAC